AACAGTAATACACAGTATACAAACTTATAACGTATCCATGGTTTTGGATTGGATGTGAGAGGCGATCGTGAAACCCAGCGGACCTGGCGCGCCGCCTCCAAAGGCCCTGTGAGGAACGCTGTGGCTAGATGATGACACCTAGATATGACCTAGACATACAGATATGAGATATGTATCTCTAGAGGCCATCGAGGCTGGAGGCCATCGCTACTAGGTTGGAGGCCATCGCTAGTAGGTTGGAGGGCATCGCTACTAGGTTGGCGGTCATCCCTATCGCTACTAAGTTGGCGGCTACCGCTATATAGTAGGTTGGAGGCCATCGCTACTAGGTTGGAGGCCATCGCTAGCAGATCAAGTTTTGTTTTTCTTGTCACTTCTTGATGAACGTTATTTTTAAGTCAGCAGTCCTCGTTTGCCAAATGCATTCCACTGATATGATTTCGGAATCCATCCATTTACAAAAGAGCAGGTTGTTGTCAGATTCAATATTCAGTTTCACTTGTGCAGAAGCACACAGAATTCAAGTCGATGTCTCAAACAGACTAGTCCTCGCACACCCTCAGTGATTGCAGTTGACAGCTTTTGTAACAAAAAGGAGAGGGGATGTTTCATACACTGCGACTTTCCGTGGACCGTTTAAGCAAGGGTAGAGAGCATATGGCCGAAGGTATTGACCTTTGGCGTTCTGTGATGGGTGCAGGTCTCCTTCTGGGTGGATGCTCCAACAAAGAAGCCTCAAACTCTGCGGTCATCAGGTGGCCTCTCAAGAATGCTTGGGGATTGAACCTGCACTACCACAGACACCCAGCGTGCATGCAACAGGTTGCAATAGGCAATGAAGATGTATTTTTTCATGTATTTTCTGCTCTGCACTATCCAGCAATGAAGTAGCAGCTCGATATGCCAGGTTCATTGTCCTTCCTAGCAGACAAGCTCTCGGAGCATGCAGCTGAGTGGTTGGACTGAGTGTATATATATATATATATTATATATATATACTGTATATGCATTTGGTACAGTTGTTTGCATTCATGATGTATTAAGAAACAACTTGCTTGCTGTTTGAATAACACGATTCCACTGGGTGTCGCTGGAGGATGCTAGGGACAGGCTCTGCCCAAAGGGTGAATGCTAGGTTTGCAGGGTACATAGATGGCACAACACTAATAGGATTGTTTGGACTTATATAATTGATTGGAAGTTTCAGAACTACTCTATAGACTTGCCCAGCGATACATCATATATACGGCAAGGCACAACCACTCCTGCATGAACGAGCACTGAAAAGACAAAGACAAGGAAAGACAGGACACAAAGTCAGTGAAGCAAACACAAGCAACAAGAAACCAGATTGAGCCTCAGCATCAGGGCACAAGACTGGACCTTAACTCACCTGTGACATTGAAGGCTGAAGCCACAGCACATGTTAATCCAGCTTTGAGTCTCAGGCCATGCTGGTACCTCTTCAGAGTGGCCAGGGAACCGAGAGTGACATGCTGGAGACATTTATGCATTTGGTGATGCTCCTGATGATGTTTCCGGACATTATTTGCACGTGCAAATAGTCGCCTAGGGGTTCAAAGCCAAGACTCGAAGGCTTTGTGCCTCTGCCTGCAGCCGCATCAATGATAAGGTTGTCTCCGTCTATGTCATTCTGGCACTTTCTTTGTCAGTGCGAGCCTCGGTTTCTCGATGAGAACACAAATTGTGGTGATTCAATGATATTGTAAGTATGTTATGATTCTAGCAAAACGGTATAACATGCAATAAACAATCATTTGATCCCGTGACTTATGATATTGAACAATTTGATCGAACATTTCTACAAGACTGTACAGACTAGTACAGACGATCAAAATATATCACATATCCATGTTTGGAAATTAATCCTGAAAGCATGCAGTTTTTCAAACAAACTGTCTAGTTTTGCACCTGCAGTACCTCGGTTGAGACTAACTTAGACCAAGTTCGGGTAGGCCCTAGGGGTATGTGGCATGGTCCATCTTAGCCTCCACCTGACTATGTTGACCTCTACCAACGCGGTCCATGTTAGCATGCGTTCTGTGTATAGTCAGATTGCAGTTGATCCATCTTGGCACTGTATCAGAATCGATTCCAGAGGGAGAGTGGGAATGGTCCATGAACGATGAGCGAGACAAGACAGTGCCAATGAAGGAGAACCAAGTGAAGGGGGGGCAACCAATGAACCATGCCTCATTATAGCAGACCTGGGGCACCTGAACCTGGTTTGTACGCGCACGTGTGCAAAAACTACGGGCCAATCAAGACAGAAAGGACATGACAGAAAAGAAGTATATAGACAGTGTGTGGCGTGGGGGGCCCGTGAAGAGGGAACCATATGAGAGGGGACAAACCGATGAGCAGCCGAACCTCATTAAAAGACCTGTTGTGAACGCCTGGTTTGTTGTAAAGCACGACGCGCACAAGGGAAGGTGGGGAAGGGAAAGAAGAAAGGGAAGAGGGAATGAAAGGAAAAGAATCGATGATGCTTCACGTAAGGGTCCAGGGACAGAGCAGACAGGGGAGGGGTTCCCGGCTATGACGGAAGCGTCCAAGGACGCCCGAGTAGGAAAGGGGAGGGAAAGAGAAGGAGGGAAAAAGAGAGGGGGGGAGAGTCAGCCTGCTCAAGAATCATCCCATCCTACGCTCGCTAATAACTCTGGTCCCACGCGCAGGGACGGAGACAAATCCTTGCTCAGCAAGGCTAGAGGGGGCAGATTGCCAGCGCGCAAAACAAGACTCAAAACTGCCAGAAACGACAAGGTTAAAGGTCATCACTGGTAGGTTGGAGGCCAACGCGACAAGGTTGGAGGCCCTCGCTATCAAAATGCAAGATGCAAGAACTCAAAATGGCAAGGCTGGAGGTCATCGCATCGCACCAGGGTTGGAGGCCCTTGCTACCAGGTTGGAGGCCGTCCTAGAGCACAAGATTCAAATCATTGCAAGAGACTCAAAAAGCAAGTTGCCAAAACCAAAAATGGCAAGGTTGGAGGCCATCACTAGTAAGTTGTCCCCGCTACCAGTTGGAGGCCATTGTCGTTCACAAGACACACAACTCAAAACACAAGTGCAATAGGTCTTTACACGAAAGAAGGGTCAGCTTGAAAGCACCAAGAGTTACACACACATATGCGCTCCCCGGCAGATGTGTACACAAAAGAACAACAAGAAGCGAGCTGAAAACACACATGAAAGAGAACACGGGATGAGACTCTGAGAGGGACAGCCAAAATATTACCCGGGGCCATGGAGGGCTCACGAGGAGGGATAAAGTATGTACGGTCTGACTGCCACATGCCACACGGAAGCCTAGGTGACAAAAAGTTCCTGGGTAGAACGAGTGCACAGGAGTCCAACATGAAAAGTCTCAAAGGCCTCAAAGGCACACAGTGGAAATGTCACGTGAAAGCTGTGTTTGCCGAACTCATTAGCATTTTACTGCAAACCGCAGCCAAGAAAGAGGTCTTGTCACGAAAGCTAGCCTCAGCTAGCTGAAGTTGCTCTTGCTGTAGCAAGTTAAATGACGGGGTGGACGCGCCTGAGAAAACCTGAAGCAATTGATGAAATCAACGTTAACGACCCCCCCTCCGCCCTGCGTGCGGTGAGCGGGTGGGCATTTGCTGCTGCTGCTGCTGCTGCTGGGTGGTCTCCTGTTGCTTGGTGGTCTGCTGCTGCTGCTGGTGGTCTGTTGCTTGGTGGTCTGCGCCCCACACCCTAGCATGCGCACGCCGCCCGGCTAGCTTTCGTTCACCCCCTCTGGCCTCAAGTTCTGGTAAAACGCAGGTGCGTCAGGCTGGAATGCGTAAACATGTGAAAAAGATCCTGTTGTCCTAAACTTGCAAAAGATGATTGGAAGAGCTTTGTCCCACATATCTTCCCTCCGGATTTGAAACCCATTTTGCCCTTTTCATTCGTTGTTCTTTTCCGATCTCCATTCTTGTAGGACGGGCTTTCTTCCATTGTCTACTCACTTGTCTCCAAAGTGCTCCTTTTGTCCTTTGGATTTTCTTTATCAAACTCACCGGACTCTGCCACAGGTCTGGCAGGCTTCTATGCCTCTCCATATTCGGCGCTCCTTCATCGCTCAAATATGATTGCATATGATTGCCATGAGGTTACTGCTCTTATTTCCTTTTGTTGGATCGGAGCCTCCTTTGGCCTTCCTTTCAGCCTTGACTTTTAAATCCTTGGTTGGATGTTATTACGGTCCTATTATCCAGTTTTCTTGTTTTCCTTGCGGTTTCCTTGACATCCTCACTGGTCCTGTGGTCCTTTACATTTTAACAGTTATAACATTCTTCACATTTGTCCAGCCAGCCTGTGTTTCTTTCCCTCGCTTTGGCTCCAACTTGACGGTTTCTGTGAGGACTGACCACTTGGAAGGTTCAGACACCTGTAAATCCTGTAAACATGAGTTTGAAACAATTCTATAATGAGGCATGAACTGGAATGCCATTCAGAGCTGATGCCCATTGGTTTTCTACGCACTGTTGTTGCAGGCCTGGTGCATGATTCAGTCTGTTTGTAGCCAGGCACTCAGAGCCTTGCAGAGTCAAAGCTGCTCGACATGGGCAGTCTTGCTCTACTCCATGCGCATAAAGTTGCATGAGTTCTGCAGGAGCCTGCAAGTTTTTGTGACCAGAGGTCTAAGTGGAAAATATGACAAACAGCTCTTGAAAGGAGTGCACGATAACATGACAGCAGCCCACGTTGAAACGCAGTGAAAACAACCCAGCAACATTTTTGCAACCAAAGATGTTGGTTGAAAGACTTTCCACCGACAAAGTCTTTTGCAACCGATTTTTTGCGACTGAGTCTATGAGTCTGCGAAACAAGAGCTCAATATCAAATTTACTTTCTCATTCTTCAGAGCTGAAGCAGAGCCATGGCCGCCTGACAACGCGAGGTTGCTCATTCGGTGAGGCACTTGCTAGGCATAAAAATAAACTGTCATAGTTGTTTGACCCTGCAGGTCAAGCATGATCGATGTCACTACCCTCATGCCTAGTTTGCCGGGCACGCTTCCCACACTTCCCCCGGTTGTACTGCCTACGCTGCCTGGCCCTTCACTTAGCTGCTCAACTTAGCTGGAGCTGGGCCGACATGTGGTGGCAGAGTGTTCAGCTCGCATAAGGCCTGGACACTACAACTACCGTTGAGCCTAACACTACGGCCAATGAGAAGATCTCAGTGGTGACCTGCTCCGATCTTACCATCAATTCTGCCAGCGTGAAGTCCAACGAGGCCTTCTCAGAAGGGGCTCTAAGCGAGTGGGTGAGTGACGATCAAGTATAGGTTGTACAGGTCTGCAGCCTCATTCAGGGCATCCACTTGGTTAAACTAGTGAGCTACCTCTCATCAACTTCCCCTGCTCTCCTTCCCCCAGCCGCCTTCACTTCCTATCCCCGAAAGAAAGCAGAAGAAAAAAACACAGACTTTGTTTCTAGTATATATATAGTGCCGGGGTCCTCATTGACTTCAGGTGGGAGGTCTCGCGGTGGCAATGGCCGCAGTCCCAGCTCGGAAGAATCATTTGAACATTTTTACCACAATCCACCGAAAGAAGAAACCTGACCAGGGAAGATTTCGGCGAATTACCAAACACCAGGATAAAGATATTATATGAGTAAGAATCGCAGCTAGAGCGTGTTTCTTCACTTTGAGGCGATCAATTTCTGTGCCCTTGTTGGGGCGGTCTTGGCCATGTGGCTGATCTCCCGCAGTGAGCGGGGCCGCCGCGTGGTTTAGCTGCAGCTTCAAGTTCCTTTTCAATCCAGCTGTAGTTGCAGCTGTTGCATCACGCGCAAACCATCACTCCCAAGTTCGCTTCCCAGCCGCAGGTCCTTGTGCCAAAGAAGCACGGTGCGGGTGGAATAGGACTGTGACTGAAAACATGTTCTTCCCGTCTCAGTGGCACCTTTTTGTGACAGCGTGTCGCCTAGAAGTTATTTTTGCAAAGTTCATGTCCTAGTATTCAGGAATGCCACATGAGTGGTTTCGTTCCGGTCTCAGCTGTTGAAACACGCCCTTGCTCAAGAACGTGCCCGATATTGATACCAGCAGCAGCCCTTGAGGTGATGTGTGCAGGATACAGTATGATGATATGGATGAGATAAGCATTGATGGACAAGTCGTGGTCGTCTCAGCTTTGACAGGTGTGAACTGTGTGTGAACACAGTGTGAACCTTGACTTGCTGCGTTTATTTGTGCCAAGGTAATTCGGCTTTGTCTATTGGGGCTGAAATTCTCTGCCTTTGGCACTCTGATTGCTTGTGCTGGAGTCCTAAAAGCTTGACCAAGAACATGCAATTGCACTAAAGAAGGAAGATAAAAAAGAACAGATGAAAAAACAACACTTCAATTTTACAATCAGTTGTCTATTTGTTTTTTAAATGACCTGTCGAAATAGGTGCTGTGTCCCATCTATGCCAGCACTCACGGACCGGAGAAAGGCGTGCTTGCCTGGACAATGACGAATCTGCTACCCAGTGGAGAGAAGTTTATGAATGCTGAAACTCTATATCTTGGCAGAGACAGGTCTCGGGCTTTGGGACCATTGAGTGTCTCTAAGGAGCCCAGATGATGATGAGTACGTCTTTTGGTTTGTGGTGGTAGCTGCCTACCTTCTCGTCTTCAATTTCTTCTGGCTCATTCGCAACTTGTTACGCACAGTGAGGTTGGTAATTGAGGCTCCTTGTGCAGGTTGGGAAGAGGACGTTCATCTTTCCCGGAATGTGCAGTGGTTGTTTGCGGGGAGATGAAACCTCAGACCTTTGTGTTTATCCCAGCTAGCTTGATTCTGTGGTGACTTATCAGTGCACACGAGAGCAAGCGACGATGGCAGGTACAAGATCGAAAGTGGAATGGACCCCAAAACAAATTGTCAAGATATTGCCACGACATTGATTGTCGAGCTGACAATGATGTTATGTTAAGTGAAGAGGTAAGGGGGGATAGTAATGGGATTGTGGCTGCAATCTCCAGGACTTTGAGAGAGAAGGATAAATCCAAACCCAGGCCACTCATCAGGTCCTATCAGTTCTGCTCAAACATTTCCAGAACTGTTTGGATTCCCTGCGGAAGTCTTTGCTGTTGCTGGCTGTAAGGGAAGCTTCAAGTGGGAATGACAGCTTTTTGCCAAGGTGCGGAGTGGAGACACTTTGTAAGTCTTCGCCAAAGCCACTTCCTCCGACGTGCTGTGGGGAAGAATGGCACTTCCTCCGCACAGGCCAAAGTGCCAAGAGGCCAGGGATTAAGGTTCTGAGGTCTCTCGCGTGCAGGCACAATTTTCCTTGCTAGTGGAGAGATTGCCCGACAAATACCAGGACTGGGCTAGCCAACGCAAGCAAGCATACTGTGTGCAGACTAGACCAGTTTTCATGACAAGGACAACAAGAATCTCCTGGCTTTGTTCTCGGAGATTTTCCCTCGTCAGTCTACCCGCCATGTTGAGGGTGCTTGGGTCGAGATTCGACTCACCAGCTGGCAGGGTTCATTCAGTTGCGGCTCAGCGTGACACGCTGCTCTTCTATCATTTGCGAGCGTTGAAAAAGACCAGCCTGGCGCTAAGCTGCGAAGATGGATCAGACTGGTATAGCTTACACACACACACACACCCAACTCGTAGGTGAAGCCATCGTTGTGTGCAAGTGCTGCCAGGCCAGGAAGTTCAACAGAGTCAAGCACCGCACTTGACAAAAGGTAGACAGTTTTGGTAGCAGCATGGCTAGGCATGTTGATGTTTTTTTTTTGGCAGGGATGTATCCACCGGTATTTGGAGAAGACGGTGCAATTTGAGCGAAAGGTTGCGCAGAAGTACAGGTTCGGATTTATTATTGTGTCTTTCTTTTCAAACGTTTGTTTGGCAAATTGCAGTCGTGTTATAGAATTGTAGGATCGTAGTGTTGCAGAAGCTGGTAGTTGTCACAATGTAGACCATAGGCTGTAGAGCATTCAAGCGAAGCCCAGATGAAGAATGCTGCTTTTTTCTATTGCTCCCTTTTAATCATTCACTACTAGATGATCTGCAAGTTCACCTGTTTAGATTCAAGTTGCAGGCAAGCTGGGAAGTATGTGCAGGATTTTGCCATGGATGGGCAGGCGTCTGCATACTTGGGGCACTAAGTTCGAGTTGTGGCAACATAAAGGTCCCCTCTTCATGCAGCCCAATTAGCTAAGGAAGTAAGCCTGACCTTCCGCATGCGCTCTACGCAGCCGAACCTGGAGATAGGAATCAGAACAACATCCATATCTAGCATTCTAGTACCCCCAGTGGCCGTAAGCCGCAGGCGTAGGACGCAGGCTGACGTACACCGAAACATATCCAGACTGTTTTTGAGCCTATACAGAGTGAGGGCTGTAAGCAAGGTGCTTGAGCTGCGGGATGACCTCGTCACGCAGCTGGGAGTCAAGGAGCTCTTAGGGAAGCATTCCAATGCGACTGACGGCGACTCTTGGCACAAAAAGAGCCACCGTTCCAACAACTTCTAGGACCAACTGGGGTTGCATCCACAGCTGAATATGCCGAGGGCAGTGCGTCTTCTGCTTGGACGAGACCGGAATTGAGACGGTCGCACCGTCTTGATGCGGAATCGGAATGCGCACCTACCTCAACTGCATTTGTCACTTTGCGGAAGCTTTCAGAACCTTGGTCAAAGCCTCACCTAGTTCTTTAAGGATTTAGCAATAGAGGGGCATGGCAGCTGGTCATGAAAGCTGCTGCGGGCAAGAGTCCCACTTCCTTAAGCAAGTGCCATGTGGGGCAGGTGAGGTTAGCAAGCATGACTCATGACTTTTTCACGACGAATGGAGAATCGAATCTCGACATTATCAATGCCTTGTTAATTTAACTTCATCATGATTGGCTCAAACCGGAGCCATCCCGACCAACTCTCGCCCACTCTCACTGGTGTTCATCACTGGCTCAAGCACTTACTCCTTTACTCAATCCTATCAGACCGCTTGGCTCACTCTCTCTATGCATGTCCCCAATACAGGAGCTTGAACGATTCTTTGGACTGAGACTAACTCAGCAATGCGTTGTGTCCCAGCCGTTCGCCATTCATTGCTTGGTCCTGACACATGGGACAGGTTGGACATCCTTCCTTTGTCATTTGTTCCAAAGACTTGAAGCCTAAGTGTTATACACAAATGAATTCAAGTTAGGTCATGCCAAGCTGTTTCCGAACTTGTCTCTGGGAATAGCTCAGTTTAAAGATGTTTCAAGTGTCAGGACCGTGTCATTGCAGAGCAAATTCCACTCTTTGACGCTGGAAGAGATCTTGGTGCTGATGGCGTGGAGAAGATAGTTGTCAAGCCTGCCCCAGAGGCCATCTTGGTGTCGCCGTCGTTGAAGACCCAACTCTCCACAAACTCAGATGGATGCCATCAGATGCTGGTATGTTGACCACTAAAACTAGACATAGTCTCAACTTCTGATCCCAGTGAACGATATTCAGATATTCTTTGATTTCCGCTTGTGCGAGGCAACAGTTGCACCCTCCAACGTGAGAACGCCAGACCCAATGATTTCAGACTACCTGTTGAGGGGTTAGCATTGTTGGGATCAAGAATCTGCCCATCGGCACATCAGCCTGATATCAGGCTGATGATGTGATTTGGGAAAACGTCCAACTTCCATTTGATCAGATGCAGAAGCTTGACGTGAGTTAGGTGAGCTGAGCTGAGCGCGCATATGCCACAGCAAGGACGAGTTGTGTCTAAGGTCACGATCATAGGATAGTCCAAGCACCGAAGCTGATTGTTTTCACAAAAAGAAACACGCAGCTGGGTTTTCTCTTCATCCGTTAAAGCATCAAGGAAGAGAGAGAGAGAGAGAGAGAGACAGAGAGAAACAGCAAATGGCAGAAATAGCAGGATGAGAAGGTTTTCTGCGGACACAATTCTGACATGAGTTCTACTGCAACAACATTCGTGTAGGGTTCTTGTGTCACGGTCGAAGGGGTCACCGCAAATGCTTTTCATGTCAGAAGATGGGGACCTCAAAGGCAGACCCCAAAGGCCTTTCCGGTAGAAAAAGAAGATGAATTTTCGCATTCCATGCAGGCTGCCAAAGTCTTTGCAACAACCCCCTTAAATTTTGTAGCCCCAAGCGAGATGTCCCAAATAGTAGATGCACATTTGAGGCAAAGACGCTTTGTCGGCAGAGCGGTCTGCGTGATGGGCATTATTTTTTGGTCATTCCCGATCACTGCCATCCAGGCTGTGGCTGGGCCGGGGGACCCATGAATGCCGAATTTGATAGCCCCAGTGTAGACAGTGGGACACTTTCTTGCTGACGTAGGTTACACTCAATGTTCGCTAAAAGGAACTGCCGAAGACTGAAGATACATTGAGTACATTGAGGGGGTCTGATGTGTTGTGGCGGGCTACGGCAACCTCAATCCTTGGGAACCGTGAGCCCATACAATCAATCCAAGCCACAATGACACAACTAAATCTTCCCATGACTCATGACTACAGTCGGAATTCTTGGTGGGTGCCACGAGAGTTCAGGCCGCACATCCCGGCAGGCCCTGTCGCAGAAAAATGTGCTGGACCAAATGCTGCCGCATGGTTGGGTCGCATGGCTTAGTGAAAACTATCCTACGGCGGCCCGGCTTCAAATCAAATGTCTCCACACAGTAGGTGAACTGGACTCTGAACAAAGGAAGACGCTTATATAATAATTCTGCATTTGTTTTGCCGCGCACATGGATGACATGATGAGATCCAAGCAAAAACCTGACATGTTTACGTCGTTCGCTGAACCACTTATATAGAGTGAAGATTTGTTTTTTGTAATGGGCTGGGAAGCAATGGTTCCCAGGTGTTCTCATTTATTGCAACTTGTCTTGCATTTGGCTGTGATCATGGCGAGCAACTTTTGGGAATACGTACAACTACCTTGGCTGAGTGTACCAGCGCAGTCTTGCGAAGTTCATTTTTTGGTCCTCTCTTCATTGTGCATTTCTGGACACCATGATAGCGGCTACAAATCGCGGTGCTAGACCTTTGTAGTTTTCCCATCGCTGCCTGCTCGACAACCCAAGACAATCTATTTGCCTGTGGTTGCACTGCTATCGCTCCTCGTGCTGTTGCCATGGGCTACTCGGTCAGATGAAGCGGGAATGATGGATCTCCACCGAGCACACCACAAGCTTTCCCTTGGCTTCAAGCTGTAAATGTTCTATCCATGCTTAAATCAAAAGTTCCAATGTGACAAGTGTGAGTCTGGAGCAAACTCACACATTTGGTAACACCCAGTGTATATATGACAGAGCATGTGACAAAAAATCCTGCCGTACATATACTTTAGTCATGGACTGCCATAAGTATTTCTGAATTGGTCAACACATTGCAAAACCGATAGGGGACCCTTATACCCTTTCTTTATTGAACGTAGCTTTTTGCCTGCTTTTAAAATACTGTAAACCGATAGGGGTCAACTTGGGTCAACCCAAAATACTTTTCGCATTGGGGACACGAAGAAGTTTTGTCCATCGTTCAAATGTATATAATACATCTACACAAGCATCATCATACTTAGCCAAACCAGCTTGTAACTGTATTGATTTGCTGCTGCTGCCAAGTTTGTAACTCTTGGTTTCAGAAGGGCCAAGCGGATTGACATGTCTTTAGATGTGAGATTGTCAGTGCACTACACGGACTGGATGAGGCTCTGCACCAGATTGCAGTCTTCGTGGAGGCAACTTTGATAGGGCAGGGGGGGTCGTGCCCATGATCATAATCCGGGGTTGGCAGGAACAATTGGGAAGGAGCACGAAGGTGCCATTCAGACAGTAACCTTTTTTGAAGATGACTTGTTGACGTTTGGCAAGGGACAAGAAGTCAGATTCATGACGGAGACTTTGGAGTCAAGAGAAATTCACCACGCTGGGTTGATGTCACCTAAGTCTTCACCCTTCGGTGGAGTGAGCAGCGGAAAAGCAGACATTGGATGGTTTAGCCTTGCAACGGAGAATCCGCTCTGCTTCACCCTTCAAACTTTAATCTAAAAAGAACACGGATTTTCTCACAATTCATCAATTCATTTCCACTCTAGTGCTCAGCGTTCCTCAGTCAGTGGCCTCACTCTCTGGCAGGCTCGCAAGTCCTATGCAGAGGTCACTATCTCCGTAATGCACAGGACCTCAGTGGCTACAGATGCACCGGGTTTTCCAACCAGAACCTCAAAGGCCAGTATTTGAGTTTCCCTGAACATCTGGGAACCAAATCATTAGTGTGAGCTATCCTGCGTCCACGTATATACTAGAAGCTTAGGTAGCTAGGAGCGAACTTCTCCCTTCCTTAATTATAAGTAGAAGCGGGCTAAAAAGAACGGAAACATAAAAGAGATAAAGCCTCAGTGATGAGACCAGAACCTCAAAGGCCAGAATTTGTTGAGTACTGTACTCCTTTGCTATGTCAGCATGAAACACTTTTCTGAGTTTTGGCAGGAACTTTTGGTTCCAGTTCTTCTCTCTCTGGCTCTCGGTGACCTGGAGAAGTCCGGCCATTTACTGCTTCTCCCTTGGGTAACATTCTTCTGATTTGGGACCCTTTGTTTAGCAGACCCAGATCTCTAGATCTCTGATAAATTTAGTTGAGGATTGTAGCCCTTTTGTAGAAGGGCTCTCAACCGCACCCTGTATACTTTCCCATCAGCCAACCTCAAAGCATATTTTGCTTAAACCTGTCAGCCTTTACAAAACCAATCAGTTAATCAGTGCGCATTTTCAGTTGATTACGACCTATGTTGGCCCAACCGACAGCAGCTCGCTCCGTGGCACATAGAAACTTTCCTGGTAGTGCGTGAGCTTGGCGTATCAGATGTGCAGGCTCCAGAGGAAGCAGATCTTGACAAAGAGCTGCCAGCCGCTATTAGGGTGGAGGCCAGCGCTACTAGGTTGGAGGCCATCGCCATTAGGGTGGGATGTGGCTGGAAACTCATAAACTTTGGAAATACCTTCTCCCTCTGCGCGGTGCTGGAAATCGCACGCTGTCCAATACTCTGTGACATAAATCGGTGGAGGACCTGAAGCCAGCGGCTGCTCCAGCTGAGTATAGGATGAAGGCTTCAATCGTTCCAGTCAATCCAGTCCAGACAATGTCCGGAAGTGCCTACTCAGATGTAAATGCACCGCAGGCCGATTAATTCACAGGCCAGTCCTGCAAGACTCCTTGTCGATGGAAGGGCACTCGCTTTCGTTTCTGTATAGTGGCGTTGTGGACGGGCACAATGCTTGAGTGCCTATTTGATCTCTACCCCCTATGCCCCGTCCATCCCCTACGCTTTTAAGCCGCAGGTCCACATGTTTTGCGTTTGCTTCCGTTTAAATTCACACTTCAGTCTTAACACATCATTTGCCGCATAGGTTTTCTCAACAAGGTATCCAAGTCCTTGCTGAACATAGTGGTGTTGGCGCAAATAAGCGGGGACTGCGACATACATAGTCTTGTGGACCACACGCGCCTTCTCGTCCAAACAGGCTTGGTGTAAATCTTCTTGCGCTTTGGTGCGCCATATCAGAAGCCAGCATGGGAGATGACCCGTGCCACAATCCCATGTGGACACTGGCCTCCAGTGGCACAAAGCGGACAGAAGATACGGAAGCAACCACGCTCCTTGCAGTTCACACCCGTGCCGCCTCTCCACTCCCGTGCCATCCAAGCTCTTTCATGTGGTCACAGGCTAAGTTCCTCTTCTTTTTGGCCAGGCACAGGCGAGCGCTGCTTCACTGGTCACCAGAGAGACAGTAACAAGCGAAGCAGAGTCAATTGCATCCGCTTAGGAAAAAGTTCCACACCCGGACCTGCTACTTATGGTTGAGGAGGCATCAGACCTCAAATTCAAGCCAGTGCTTTGGTAAGAAGGCTGGATCAGATGTATTGACCAGCCACCAAGTGTTCAAGTGGTGAAGCGCCTGGAAGGAATGTACCGTTCCTCCTGAGTGCCAGCTGGCCAGACTCCACTATTTCCTTGTGACGGCCCGGACACGCTTGCGAGATTATAACTCCTTAACATAAAGCCTATTCAGATGCTCAGTTAACATGTGGTAGCTGAAGGAAAAACCAATGCATTCCGCAGCGCGGATAGCCTGCTGCTCCTGCTGTGGCCAAAATTCAACTTTCTTGTAAGACAGGGATGCTTCCAAAGAATTCTGACATCGTTTTTGTGCAGATGCAGCTACATGCTTAACCGTTGATTGGCCCGAGGTTTTTACAAGCTCATTGGCGCGATCGATCGGGCAAATTCTGGAGCACCCGAGATGCCACTGAGACAAAATCAAGGGCCTCCACAGGCTTTGCTCTCCTGTACGCACCCCGAGCTAAACACTCCGACGCGAGTCCAGTTTGTGAGAGCCTTTGCAAGAGCTGTGGGCTCAAAATGGCACGGACAGAGAACAAGATAACATCCACATCCAAGTATTGAGGTTTTATGGGTTTTGTATATGCCCTGCCTGAGGCATGGCAACTATCCTTGGCTCCGCTATTCCACCAGTTTGTGCTTCCTGGGCTTATGTTTTATCACTGCAATGGTGAAACTTGTTGATTGCCCTCAATGCCTGGAGGACGGGGAGAAACCATTTTCCCTTGAAACACCAGCCGAGTGGTCCAAAGCGGCGAAAAAACATTGATAGGAAATCAGTATGCGTCAAGATATGTCGCTGCAAAGTATATCTCAGGTGTACTTTATATCGTATCTTTCTAGCATTTGGAAACCCTTCCAAACACTTCAGAATTTGCATGAATCATCGAAACAGATGAATCTCCTGCACCCTCAATCAGTTCGTTCAATTGTCCGAGGTTTGTGATCACCAGGACAGCAATTTGTTCGGCACATCCAAGCCTTTGTATGAAATTGGGTTGGCCACCTTTGAAGGATTGGTGTGAGCTTGCCACTATTGCTTTTGCGCCCTGATGGCCTTCTGTCATTATTTGCACCTCGGGTTTTTGCAGCTTTAATGTCTTGATTTGTGAGCTGATGAGCAGGCCAATTTTATCGTGTTTCTACTTGATTGTTCATTGCGTGTGCGCTGAGATACCTGGGAGCAACAAACCTAAAGACAAGGCCGATAAGGCCGAAGAGGAAAACGACTCTGTGGAGAGTGAATCTGACAGCGCAAGCGATCAGGAGTTTCTGAATGAACAACTGAACCCTCAGATTTTCATTGCCAAATCTTAGGATTTGTTCAACTTGCACATTTCTTTCCAGCTCTTTCAGAGGAGATGCCTGATCCTGGTCCAGAGAATCCAGTCTATTGCTTCTTTGCCTCCGAAGCCGCTCAGCTGATCTTGTCAAGATCAGGAGCAAACAGTTCTGGCAGTGATTTCACTTGCTGTAAAGGTCACGAACATCAACATCGTCTTTGTTTTGGCTCTGATGTACTGTGTAGTTGCACCCGTGATGATGCCGGCTTGTGCCTCCTCTGCAAATTGTCCTCTTATCCGATGGCAGCCAAAAGGGTGATGTATATAAGTTTATGAAGAGCTCAGTACCAAAGCGATGGAAGCGGCTTGAGGTTTGCTCTACTTTAGCCTCGCATTCTTGGTGTACAAGTGGCTCTTTGTGCATGTCTACACCAAGCAATATGATCTTCTGGGCGAGTCGTGGCACCCTGGCGGATTGTGCAGTCCTATGGGGTTCTGTTGTCCCTTGAAAGGACAGGTTTTATGTGCGCACGTCATGGCTCAATTTGTGAAGGGTTTGATGCATATAAATGGTGGATTTGCTGTCCCAGGTACGTGTGCTTTTGGGGTCTCATTGTGGGTGTCTTCTTCGGTACAGTTTCTCTATCCGGCTTAGCTGCCAGTCACAAGGGCTCGAAGTCTCCTCACTGCCTGGCATGGAGCCCAGTGCCTATGTGCCAATCCTTTGGTTTTGCGGGCGGACTTTGGACTGTGAGTACCGAAAGTTTGTCAGGCGCTTTGGATACTTTCCTTCTTGGTCTTAATCTTTGCTTGGCATTGCTTCTCTCTTGCAAATAAATACATATACAATCATATACATTTCACATGTGTATTGCCATTCCAACAATTTGTTTTGTATATATTGCGAGCATCAGATGGCAGACAATGCACTGAGGCCAACGCACCTTCATGCCATTCTGCGCTGCGTTGCCGTATCGTGCTGCTGTGTTGGCAGATGAAACATCCTCTGCCGCGGTGACAGAGCAGTTTTCCAGAGACCTGGAACGCATATCATCACTTAGACTTGGAAGCCGACAATTTGGAAACAAACAGTTCATTTTGGGAATTCTTTGCTTGGTACTGCCAAGCAATCTATGATTTGATCCCGTATTGCTTTAATGTCGAAAGGTTCAGTTAGGCGAATCGTGAAGTGCATACACTGCTGGCAGCTCAGGTGATTACTATCATGATCCAATTCTTTCCGACACGCGGCCAGATCTAGGGGGGACTTTGTTCGATCTGCATCTGAAGTTCAAAGCTAGAATTAAGGTAGTGAAGGTTTGTAGGCGTTCTCGGCCGCATTGACTTGTTTGCCTCAGCCTGAGTTCTGTTCACTTTGAAGCACCGGACAATGCAAGGATATGACAGAAAACGAGACGCGAACTATTCTGGAGCAGTTCCAGCTGCAAACAGCTTCAGCTTGCTGACAATGCATGACAAAGTTCTTTTGGTGTGCAGATTCTGGAGGTCAAGTGCCGAACTGATTGTTGATGTTCTCACGAAACAGCTCAACATCCAAGGCATGTTGAAAGCGATGAAGATGACAGTGATGCTGGCCCATGTAGCCCATAGAGCAGCACCTGATTGCAGAAAAGTGGACATTTGATCCGGATCGGTCTTCGATCCCGGTTGCTCGAGATTGATGTCTCAAGCCATGCCAACGTACCACCAAGCAAAATATGCTGCAAGAAAAAGGTCTTGGACTTCAGTGGCAGGTTTGAGAGGGGCTGTCCCTGGACACCTAACAAGGATAGGGCTCAAAATCAGCATCAGATAGTATAGGGCGGGAGGCTTTTTGTTGCTCTTGGTTCCTTAAGTGTTCTTGCGTTGTCCTATGTTGTGACGATGCTGAGGAGAAGAGACACTTTGGCCGCCGATTGAACGGATTCTTCCGTTGATCATTCTCAGCTCTCCAGGTCGGGCAAAGGTGATTTTGATAGCTGGAGGATGTCGGAGGTGTATAAATTACGGCAAAAGATCAGCCTAAACGCCTGTGTACACACTAATTGTGAGGGACTTTGGAAGGAAGGAAAGACGTCATGGAGTCCTATTAGGTTCTTAAGCCGCAAGGACCAGTCGGCTCGGGTGGAGTAGGTGCGCAAGGAAAGAGAGATAAACACAGAAGGGCTCCTTTAGGGGGGTCCTTAGGGTCCTTGTTGAGGGGGGGGCCTTGCTATTCTTTAAATATATTTTTTTGATCTAGAATTCCTCTCATGTATCATGCTCTTGACAGGCTCGTGGGCCATCGCTTTGCCTATGACGTTGGCTGACGGGGGACTTAGGAGTGCAAAGTGTGGGACTAGGTTTGATTCGACACAAGAGTGTTGCGAAGCCAAATGATTTTGTGTGAAGTCCTTGGTCATTCAGGAGAGGTTGCCACGTTGTCGATGGTTGAATTTGAATACATAGCATATCATAACATAAGTTTCATCACAACACCAAGGCAAGGACTCGTGAGCCAATGGGGACATGCTGACCTGTTACCTCCTGTGGAGACTACCATGTCCAGGCCATTCCCACTTTGACGTCGTTCTTGTCGGTCGCCAGGCGTCTTCTTGCCGCAGGCGCTGTCCTGCCACCTGCCATGGCTGGACAATTGTCGGGTAGCCTATGAAGAGTCAAACAAAAGACATGAAGAACGGTAAAGGCTCCTTTCATAAGGGCCCCTATCACAGGAGCCTTACCATTTTTTAAACAGTGCCTTTAGAGACTCATCAATTATCAATCCCAAAACAGGGAACTCAACCAACATGTTCCCAGCAGAGTGCTGCTATCCGGGGCTTGAACACATTGGCTTGGGTGAACACATTTCACAGATCTTTGGCTACGTTCTTTTCATTTGAAACAGGCAGGCTTGAGAGCATGGCAGACGAATGACTGATTTTGCAATCACATTTATTGTCAGATCTCGGGTAGCGGTGGAGCACGCTCCAACCCCGAGTGAAGGTTCTCTCCATATCATGCTCAACGTCTGCTCAAAAGGAGTCAAAAGTCTCGGGAGATTGAATGCATATGACGTGATAATGTCACCCTAAGTTTCCCATGTGTCCCTAACAATCTAGGAACCAATTGATTAGTGCGAGCGCTTCTGGAAGGAAGCTCCCCTGCCCTCAGGCGGGGGGAGCTTCCTTGAAGAAGTGTGAGCTATCCTGCGTCCTAGCTAGGAGCTTCCTATTGCTTGTAGCGTGTTTACTCCCTTACTTTATTAAGTAGGCGCCTACTTAATTTAAGTAGGAACGGGGGCAAAGAAATGATCGGGTCAGCTTCTCATTTTTGGACCAAAAGATCTGAACAGCAATATTCTTGTTATCAATCCGGACTTTTTTCACCCCGATGACTCCCCGTTCCGATGATGCATCAAGGCTCGCCCGGACAGCGGCCGGCGTGCAGTTTCTACAGTCCAGCCAGGCATGAGTTGCAGAAACACCCCCAGGGCCGAAAGGAACCTGAAGAGGCAACCGACAACACTGTGGTAGCGTTTCAAGCGGGCACCATACGTTTTTTGGCGCGCTCACATAGACTTGGGCTTCTTGGGTTGGATATGGTGGATTTTTTCGATCAAATCTATGCAGGCCGACCTGTATGCCATTGGTGCCGGCTTGATCCAGCAGTGTGCTGAGTGGGTGTCACCGACCATTTTGTCAGGGGATTTGGGGTCAACGTGCCGACTTGAGATTACCTTCAACATCCTTTAACTTTAACAAACAATGGGATGCCCCCACTCTCCTGAACCTGGACCCTTGTTGGTTGACGTTTGAACTACAGTATATCCTCGAATGTTTCTTCTGTCCAGGGAATTGCGTAGTCAAGCGGCGAGAAGATTCGACCCTTTTCAGATTTTGACGGAGCGCAAAAGTGCACCCCTCAGCTTCAGGTATTTTTTGTTGCTGTGGGTCTGGGCTTTGCGAACACCATCTACGAGCTTTCCACTACCCTTTTTGCCCGAGACTGAGCAGATTTTTGGTTCTGGTCTTGGTAGAATCTTCAGTTCTTTGAATTCAATTTAGATCAGCGCAAGTCTCGAAGTGTCAGTGGAGGCATGAGACCAATCATGTCTTGAAAGCAAACCAGAAATCCCTGAGGCTTGGAGTCGTGATTGGCCTCGGCAACGCAGTCCAGTACTGAGAGATGGAACTTGTCAAGTGGGATGATGGAGCTATTTGGGGCCCGCAGGGTTTACCTATGGCCAAGGCGGCAGTGGTGTTCTTGCCTTTGGTAGTGGAAGAGATCGACGAGGGTATTTTCAGCAGTCACTTGGATCAAGAGCAAGTTAGAGGAAACATTCTTGTTGATAGCATCTTCTTCTATGTACAGAATGAGTTTGGACGTCATCCCAGGCATGCTGATGTCCGCGGTATGTTTTGTTTTTGTTGGGGGTATCGCAGGGGCCCCAGCATTTGCCAGAATGTAGCCGTTTGGTAGCTTGCGCTGAAAAGAGGTGTGTTTTTGCCGGTACATTGGTTGTTTGAATGGCTTTCCAGGCTCAGCTTTCTTGGGGCCTTCGTGCTTACCTTGGCTGACACCGTCCATTTGTGTCGTGGGTTGTCCCTTTGTCCAAGGTCTGCAGGCAGACACCTCTTTTCAAAACACCGAGGCCTTGAGGTGCATCGAACCGTGCAGCTTCTTGAATTCCCCACATAGCAAACAAGTTGAGTTAGGTTTCGGACCGAGCACCAGAGTGCACAAACTTTTCAGTTTTATGGTTGCTGCATATGGGCCCACAGTTACCCTTCCAAAGCCACCTCCAGCATGCGATCCACACCTAGCCTTATTCAAACAGGAAGGTGGGATATTTCACCGTTTGGACTTTGCTCAGTCATGTTGCAGGCTATTGCGAGAATACACAAAAGGATTTAGCCAAGCAGGAACCTCAAAGGACTTTGCAAAACCTATTGAACTACTGCTGAATTGCGGAATCGATTGACGCTCTCAGGCACTCATTGGAGACCATGTCTTCTTGTACAAAGCAGTTGTTTGAGTGAGAAATCAGGCTTCCGAACGAGATGACGGAGGTGCGGGCGAGGTTGATCATGTCTCAAGCCCACCGTTCAGGTGGCCCATAGCACTTCAGTCAATATAGTGTTTTCCTCCTCGGGCTGGTGTAGTGGGAATGAGGCAACACGACACGGATTGCACGTTTGCGCATTCTGATCACTCGGAATTTCAGAACCGAAAGTCTACTTTGCTGTGACAGAGTCTACTCTAATTGTAGTAGATTGTTGCACATCGGCAGATAAGACAAAGCTCGGAGACTGGAGGTGTTGTAAGAATGTGGCGTGGACCTGTGATCTGTTTTTATGTCGCTACCCAATCCCCAGGACCAGTGGTGTTTTCCCACTACGAGGAAACCATGAAGCAGGTTCCGTCGGCTGCGCGGCTCGTGGTTGATCTTACTATGTGTTAAGTCTAAGCCAGCACAGCCTGAGAAGGCAGCAAGAGATTCACAAAGAATCAGACCATGGGTTGTGAAAAATGCCTCTTGGAAAGGACAAACAAACAAATGATGAGTAAAGAAGGCACGGGGCCCTTAAATAGTAAGAGTCCCGAATAAAGTTATAGAGACCTAAAAAGAGACCCTTATATATATAATTCTATTTGTTGATTCATCTCATTTTTTTTCGGATTTTATCATGGTTTTTGTTTGCTTTTGCTGTTCAGTTGTGTGGAGAGGTCGATGCCGTGGAGCAAGCTTTGAGATTGCAGCCAACCTTGTCCGAAGAGGCTTGAAAGAGGGGTGCATTGGTGCATGTTTCTATTACATTCTGACTAATTGAGACTTTGGGAGACGCTCAGTCTGACAAGCAAGACAGTGGCGAACAAGCATGTAGCTTGAGAGCTTGAGTGTATTTTGGTAATTGCTCTACATGCCTACTGTTTTTAAAGGTGCTGGATGAGCTGGGTGTGATCTTCCTCGCACTCAAGGTTGAGTGGTTCTTGTGAGAAAAGTGGTTCTTGTTGCGGGGTTTTGCTGACTTTTTTGACAGGGCACCTTGACTTCTGGCAAGCTCTACAAGACTGAGGTCAGAGGAGGGCAGCTAGAAAGCACTTGGAGAGTGCCACAAGGATCTAAGATTGCGTTCACAGCTGATAAAGCCAAGGCGCAAAGCATCTACCTCACCGTTGTTTAGTTCCGTCAGTGGAGTGCTAAGCTTTCAAAGATGGTGAAGGAATGCAACAAAAAGAGTGAACAAATATAGCAGGTAGAGGCAGAGGTTTGACTCGCATATGTTTCAAGATCCTTCATAGGCTCATTGCTGGAGTTTAGACAGCTCTTCCTCGAATGTTTGAAGTGCACCCCTGCTGAAGCTCCACCTGCCAGCAACAATTAGGTGGTGAAGCAAAACAACTCAGGCTCGTTGAGCTTGATTGAGTTGAAATTGCAGGGTGAAAGCATAGTGAAATCTTGGCAAAGACAGCAGACAAAAGGTTTTCATGCTTGACCTACAAACAAAGAGAGAAGTGCTGCAACGAGAATATCCTGGCATTTGGAAACAAAAACTGTGTATCACATTCGCAATTCGTGTCCGAGCAGGGCAATGCTTGCCCACATGAAGGACCTCCTTAGATGTGTGACTTGTGGAAGGGGCCGAACTGCATGGTTTTAACGTGGAGTATAGTTGACTACTGATTTAAATCAGTTTTGACTCTTGTGTTGGAAGAGGCCTGCTGGAAGGATGAGACTGGAGACGTAAACCGTTTCTCACATTCGCAGTTGTCGAAGCAGGGCAATGCTTGCCCACATGAAGGACCTCCTTGGAAGAGGCCGAACTGCATGCTTTTGACGTGGAGTATAGTTGACTGCTGATTTATCCCATTGGATTCTGACTCTTGCGTTGGAAGAGGCCTGCTGGCAGGATGAGACTGGAGACGTAAACCGTT